GCATCACCTTGTAACAGTATATCCCTTTTAGCGTGCGGAATGCAGTTAATTCTTCATCTCTCGGCGACATGCGTATCTGATTGTACCCAAATGACCCGTCCATGAAAGACAATGCTTCGTGGCCTGTAGTGTCATCAATCATGAGTTCAGTAATGGGCAACAGAAAGTCGTCTTTTGGGCACGATTCATTTAAATCTCTAAAGTCAACACAGACTCTAACTTGGCCATTCTTCTTTCTCACAGGAACGATGCTTGAGATCCATGTGGGATACTTGACTTCTCGAATGAACCCAACCTCTATAAGCTTGTTCACTTCAACTTCAATCGATGGAACCAAATCAGGCCAAAAACGCTGTTGAGCTGGCTTAACAGGCCGTGCTCCCTTTCTCACGGACAAATTGTGCACCGACACTTTTGGATCTAACCCAGGCATTTCCTTGTACGACCAAGCAAAGACATCTTTATATTCACGAAGCAACTCAATATAAGTCTCTTCCTCATCACTGATCAAAAGTACACTGATATAAGTTGGTCGAGAATCATCCACGTCTCCTAAGTTGATCTCTTTCAACTCATCAACTGTAGCCTTAACTCCTTCTTCAAGCTCAGCAAGGGCATCCTCTGCGTCTTCTTCATTTTCTTAGGCATCTTCACATATGGTGATATGATTTACATATGCAACATCTTCAACTGGGTTATCAAGATTTTTGAAATCAATACATGTTCTAACTCGTCCTTCTCTTCTAACGACACGAGCCAAATGCAAATTGTCTTCGTTAATACACCCTTTTCTCACCAATGCGGCGATTCTTCGATGCAAGATGCCTTCAACATTTCGAGGATTTTCTCTTGGGACAAGACTACTCACTTGATTAGATGAGGCGAAGCTTTCTCCATCACTTTCTTCTTCATCTCTTACTCTCGTGTGCACGATCGTTCGCATCTTCTCCTTATTACCACATGAAACAATCAGTGTGGTTTGTCTCTTCATTCGTGATGGCATCAAGCTTCGAATCTTGTCGAACTTTCTTTCTATCTTCCCGTTCTTTAGCATCCTTTGAATACCAAGTCTTTGATGACTAGTTCTTTTGGACTCTAACTCTTGAATGGGTCCGAGCCTTTCAAATACCGATCTTCTTTCTCTATTCTTCAAATGACCAGTGGATGAAAATCCTTCCTCAGGCACATGATTAGAATTGGCTCGTTTTATAGCAATCCAATTTGGATTTGGTGCTACAAATTCGAGACCCACTCTAGTTTTTTAAACTCCAATATCCTTCTTTTGAGTTTTTGCTGCTTGAGGAAGTAGTGTTCCCAAAGTACTCACTTTTTTTGTATTGTATCCAGATTTAACAAGAAGTTTATAAGCTTTTGGGTCGTAATACTTAGAATTTTGAAGGTCTCCTCCGTGTTCCGTCTTAGCTCCTTCAATTGGGCGGACAAACTTTCCCAGGGGTTTCGTGGTTGGTTTCTTGGCATCAAGATTAGGTAACGGCAACACCAGTCCATCAAGAGGGTCGTTGTCAACGAGAAGGCTTTCTTCTCTTTGGCATCACTTTGCTGTTTGATGGGAGTTTCTTTATTGCGAGCAGACTTGGTATCTTCAAAATAGTACTTGGCATCGGCGAAATAAGACTCGACTTCAGTAAAAGGCTTATCATCTCCAAGAACTTTTCTTACTACACCATCTTGGCAGTATTTAAAACATTGATGCCAGGTAGAAGGCACAACTCCATACTCATGCAACCAAGGACGTCCCAACAACATGTTATAAGAGGTTTTGGCATCTATCACATGGAAAAGAGCATTTGAAGTCATCTTCCCGATTAATAACTTCAACCTAATTTTGCCAAGGGCTCGTTGCCATCCTTGGTTAAAGCCTTGAACCATTAAACGGCTATTTGAGAGCTCATCCATCAGGACCTCCATCTCTTTTAGAGTGCGCAGAGATAAAATGTTCACAGCAGAACCTCTATCTATCAATATGCGATTCACTTTTTTCTCACGAGTATAACTAGTTACGAATAAAGGCCTATTATGGGGTTTTGAGCCCAACATCAAGTCTTCATCTGTGAAGGTGACTGCCGCATCATTGTCTTCATGATCACATGGTTCTTTGTCATCAGTTGACTCATCATCACTTGGAACATCATCTTGCTCGCTCGTCACATTACAAGCGAAACTTTCATATCCTTCATCGCAGTTCACTATTGAAGCAAAGTTCGCAGTGCCTTTGTCTTCTTCAAGCGATATCTTGCCTTGTCGTGCCAACTGCATAACTCTAAGACGAAACAATCTTCGATGGGATGACTCACCAAACGATGATACTTGTAGTATTTTGGGTTGTCAACTTGTCCCGCTTCTTCAGGTCGTTTCATCTGTGGCAGTTTGATAAGTCGTCGAAAATTTCAGAAACATCGAAGTCAAGGATATTGTTTGGCTTGCATCTCCTTCAAGGTTAACTTTCTTTGCCCCCTGTCTTGAGGTACTTCTTTCTTTTCCACAACTTTTTTACTTGTGTTTCCCTTGAGTTTGATGGGTCTTGCATTGACCGTCATTGCTTCCTTCACCTCTTTGTTAGGCGCTTAGAGGAGAACTTGCCCCCTTTCTTAACTTCATTTCGGTCCTTGAATCTTTGAGGCTCGTGGACGGGTGGATTCTTGACCCCGCTTGCAGACATGCTTAACTCCATATCATGTGCACGAGTGGCCAACTCTTCAAAGGACTTTGGTTGAATTCCTTGCAGAATGTGTCGGAGACCCCAATGCATCCCTTAAGTACACATTTCAATTGCCGAAGTTTCAGATAGTCGATCCTTGCAATTGAGGCTTAGATTTCTCCATCGATTGATGTAGTCAATAACAGGCTCTTCATCCCACTGCTTTGTAGAAGTGAGCTCAATCATGTTGACCGTCCTTCGTGTGCTATAGAAGCGATTGAGAAACTCTTGCTCTAGTTGCTCCCAGCTATCAATAGAATTTGCCTCCAAGTCGGTGTACCACTCGAATGCATTTCCCTTCAGTGATCGAACAAACTGCTTCACCAAACGATCTCCATATGTTCCAGCATCATTGCAAGTCTCAATGAAGTGAGCTATGTGCTGCTTCGGGCTTCTTTTACCATCAAACTGTTGGAATTTTAGCGGTTGATATCCAGTAGGCATCTTCAAGCTATCAATCCTTTGGGTGTATGGCTTTGAATAAGTTAAAGACGATTTGGAGCCTACATCGAATTTGTCCTTGATGGTTCCCATGATGAATTCTTTGAGTTGGTCAGTTGCACATGAAGAAACATGGATTTCTGACGTAGTCTTCTCTTTTTCAGTTTGCTTCACCTCGTCTTCTTTAGAAGTTTCTTCATCCTCATGGGTTTCATCTTGCTTGCCCCCGGCACAGCTAGTCTCAGCTTTGTCGACCTTTTCTGCGAACTTTGAGATCATGGAGTCTTGATCTTGAACATGTTTCATTAGTGCCTCCATTGTTTTCGCCATGGTTGCAAGTTTCTCTTCAATGGTTGATGCATTCGTCATCATAACAAGTGCCTCCATTGAGAAAGGTGTTAATGAAACATCGTCTCTTAAATCTTCTTCTTGGTTCAAAGGTGGCATGTTTTCCTCAACTTGGTGAGAATTTACTTCCAGAGATACACTCTTGTTTTTTGCCATGCTTCTTGTTCTGACACCAACACTTTCGCTTGCAGAACTTGAAGAAGTTGACTTGGGAGGAGTCATTGTTGCACTTAGATATCTTGAAGAAAAGAGATGAGAGGTAGAGATGGTCCCACCGGGCGTGCCAGAAATTTGTAATGCAAAATTCGTATTATTGAATTAATAAACACGGAAAATTTGTACAAATGGATTTCAGCAGATCAAATGAAATAAAGTGGATTATAAATCTCTATTTATTCCTCTGATTAATTTCTTCAAGAGCAATCTTCAAATGGATATAAGACTTTTGGAGACGAATCTTCAGTTTGATCTCCGCCGGTCTTGAATTTGGATTTAAATAACGTTTCTTCGAGGGCTTGACAGCTTAATCTCGAATCGAATGTTGTGATTTCCCAAGAACGTGAAGAACACGAGTCCTTGATCTTCGCCGCAAAGTAGATTTTAATCTTCTCTACGTCGGTCTTGACTTTAGTAACGCAATTCAGAGGCTTGACAGCTTGTCTCTGGAATGAACGTCGGTTTTTGGCTTGAACGCGCTTGAATCTTCCTTCGGATCTTCAAGAACGCCTTTGGATCTTCAAGAACACTTCAATCTCGTGAAAAGAATTCTCTAGAGCTCTTGAACTTGGGACTTGAATTGTGAATATGAATTGTGTTTTTTTTCAACTTAGGGAGAGTCCCTATTTATAGGTGTTAGGAGAGAGAGTCTTGGAAAAAAAGACTTCAATTTCATTGGTCCATAATTTCCAATATTTATTTATTAATAATTATTTAAAGAGATAATTAGGAGATGGAGTCTTGGAAAAGAAGACCTCAATTTGATTGGCCCATGAATATTTATCTCTTTAATAATTATTAAAAGAAATAATTATTTATTTACTCTTCAGAAAAATGACATGTGGAATTCTTTAATTAGCCTTCAAAATATACATGTGGCATTCTTTGATTGGCCAACAAATTTAATTTAGGAATTAAAATTTGATTAATTTCCCAAATAAAATAAAAAATTATTAAATTGACTATGCCATGGAATTTGACACTTGTCGCCATTTTATTGGCTCAAAATTTAATTGTCTACAGGGTTCCACATATGTATTTAAATGAATGTGTAGAAATGTGGGTGTTTGTTTAAATAGAGAGACATTTAATGGAAAGATGATGTGGAGATGGTGTAGATGAAAGAGAGTGTTACTTTTTGATTGAATGAATGATTTTTGTGTTCAGGGTTGTGGATGCCCTAAGCTTAACTGCTTAAGGGCAACAGAAGAAAGTAGGTATATATTCACATACACGCTTGACACCTCTTATGATCATCAAATGGAACTGAAAACGCTGTCATCACTTTCAAATGAGTTGTGGAGAACAACATTGCGCTCGTTCCCAATACTTTCTTTTCACTCAGCAGCCTTTGGCCACAACGGAGCAAGATTTGCAACACGTCGTTCATGGCTGGCCTATTTGAAGGGAATGCGCTTGTGCACATCAAACCCAATCTCAACACTGTGGTTATTTGCTCTAAGTAAACAGTACCCCTTATGTCCTCATCGATGGTATCCTCCACGGGTCGGCCTTCACAAACATGGCGCCAAGTCCAATCAACAATGGACAACGTCTCGTCTCCGAAGGGGGCCTCCCGTCCAGTTACCAACTCCAGAAGAATTACACCAAAACCATACACGTCTATCTTCTCGTTCACTCTTCTCGTCTGGGCGTACCCTGACAAATTAAGACTGACATAAGCTCTTTCCATTTTTCTTTCCTTTTATTTACATGATTCGTGGCTGTTTTTCTTTTTGTTTATGCGCTTCTCATGAATTCTTGGGGTATGTATGGTTGCTCGGTTAGTATCTCTTTCGCTTCATTTTTCTAGAAAACCTTATTTTTACAAAAGCAGCACAAATCCGGTTTTGGGAGGTAAAGTAAAGAAAAGCATAGTTTGTATGGTTGGTTTTCAAAGAAAAATCATATGGTACATTGAAAAAAAAAAAAAGGATAGTTTGGAGGCAGTTACTTTTTTATTTTCCCCCTTTCTTTTATTTACTTTTAATTTATTGTGCCGTTTCTAATAGAATGAACTAATAATAGAACAAATTAGCCAAAGTGGTTAAAGAAAAAGTAAAAAACTCGTAGGGCTTGCCAGGAGCCATGTAGCCAAAAGAGCCAGCCACAACGGACATCGTGTTTGGCTCTCCTTGCTTCACCAAAATTCTTGCCTGGCCGAAATCAGCAATCTTGGCATTGAACATGGTATCCAACAGCGCATTGCTGGACTTCAGGTCTCGGTGGATAACTGGGGGCGAGCAGTGGTGGTGCATCTAGCAGAGCCCATGAGCGACCCCAATTGCGATTTACAGTCGGTGGATCGAACGACGGTTGTGCCGATATCCACATCCCCGACGATTTTCTTCTACACTCACAAGGAGTTCTTATTGGTACTATTGTTGAGAGTACCTAACCCATGTTCAGGAGTGCAAGTGACGATCTTAGCTATCTGAAGGACAGAGCCATACTCGCTCCTACACTTGATGTGGTTGAGTCCATTAACAAGTACATGAGCTCACTGAACTCATCCAAGCAAAGGACTTACTTGAGTTCAGACACCCCGTGCAAGTCAGATGCTTGATATGATTCTCTTCAGGATCTTTACACTCCTGAGTTTCTCAATGGGATCAAGTGCTCTGGCCTTCCGAATCATAAATTGCACCTTAAGGTCGGCACTCTAGTGATGCTTCTCAAAAATATTGATCACTCCATGGGGTTGTGCAATAGTACTGTTCATCAAAATTCAATTTGTCATCTACATTTCCTTTTATATTTGTACAAATTTGAGTGATATGATTTTGTTTTCTGAGTTTTGACGTCAACAGGTACACGGTTGGTTATCACTAAGCTCAGCAGCCATGTCCTCGAATGCAGGATTTTAACTGGTGATAGAGCTGGTGACAAGGTTCTTATTCCTAGGCTCACAATCATATCATCCGATTTGAGGGTAACGTTTAAATTTCAGCGCAGACAATTTCTGCTCATGGTTTCATATGCTATGACTATCAACAAGAGTCGCCAGTCACTGTCCCACGTCGGATTACTATTGAAGAACCTTGTATTCAGTCATGGACAGTTGTATGTGGCACTATCTAGTGTCACGAATCGGAGGGTTTGAAGATAATGATTTGTGATGATGGAGATTTTGACGATAGAAAAAACCACGAATGTTGTATATAAAGAAGTGTTTAATAATATTTAGATTTAAATTTTATTGCTTAACTTTTTTTCTCAACGATCATATTATGAATTTTACAATTGTTTTCTCATTTTATATTTTCCTCTATCGTATAGTTTTCCGTGCAAATGCACGGGTCAAAAACTAATATAAATTACAACAGTTACTTCGGTCGATGTCGCAAGCCAAGGTTAGGGTTTCTTCTTAGCGTACCTCCTGCTGTTTTAATCATTTCTTCTAAGCAGGGCTTTCTATTAGAATACCTAATTTCTTTTAATTCGATGAAATTCGAGCCTCCTCCAAAGCGGAAGAAAGTCGATCCCGATTTGTCGTCCAGGTAAAAATGATCTCTTCCTTTGGTTGCCATTGGACGATGATGACGACGACGACAATGGTGGTGGTAATTTTATTTATTCTCCTTAAAACCCACAAGTTGAGATAGAAAGAGAAAAGCTTCTGAACGGCTCATTTACTATTGTTCCTCCTCATCTGCTAATCATAACTCGTTACTGTTAATTGGTGGTTGGATTGTCTTCTTCTCTGTCTACCTACCTTGCATTCACGAAAACAATGTTGTAAACTCGAAGGTGCTCATTTGCAATCACCAGAAGTTATCTTGTGGGAACTTTTTTCAATTTAAGTCCTGCCTCGATATGTTTTTTTTTTTTTTTTTTCCTCATGATGAATACATTTTGTTCATGTTTTAATCAAGTTAGTAAACTCTGCTGTGTATATAATGTGAGCAGCACGTCCCATGGCAAATCTATTGTGAACTTACCGTCTGGAAACAGAGACGAGGGTACGAGGAAAGAAGCAGCGGTACATATGTAGTGTGTTTAATTGGGCTTTGTCATATGTAGATTTTTATTGGCTGCAACTCGAGAAATCTTAAACACAATGAGTTTTCTCCAGGTTCATGAGACTCAGACAAGCGAAGCCGTTCTGAAGATTCAACAGGCGAGGAATTATGCAGTGGCTCAGGCCCAGCAGGATGGTTGCGCGGGTAATTTTAGAATATTTGACTCACCTTTTGGGAATTATCTCGTCCCTGTTATTCCATCTCGTTCGGAACTCGGTGGATGAATGAATCTAAGCTAATTTTGTTTGTGCCAAGAGCCTCCAGAATGGAAATTACTTGCTTGCCTAAGAATTATTGCTGTTGATATTGCCCGTACTATATACGAATTCGGTTTAATGGGCTTGACTTATGTGGTGTGTTGCTTGATTTTGTTTCGAGTTTGCTCAATAGTCCAGAGTTATTTTTTCGTTGGCTTCTAGCGTAGCAAACAAGAATAAGTCCACCAGTTGTCGTGAGGAACCTTTTTGGTTTTTGCAGAGGAAATGTACTTTAAATGCTAATGATGTTGAAATTCTTCTGTTGGGAAGATTTATTGATTATGATTTTGTTTATGAGTATCAACAAAGCTGCTAATGGGGTCCAAGTGGTGTCTTTCTGTTAAACTATCGACATGTTCCATATCTATGCTTCTATTCTGTATTAAAGATCTTTGCAGGTCTCACCTCTCGCCATGTGGCAGGCGCTGGTCCCCTTTTCATTTCACTAAGTTTTGTTAAGAAACGGCGTCATTCAAATGACACATGTTGGAGAGGCTATACGACATAGTTCAGAAGGATCTATGGCTCTTTGTGCAAAAAATTGAAGCTTTTTTCTGTCGCTCACTTTTTACTTATCCAAAATTAAGTGGTATTTTTTTGCCAGAAATTCAGCGGCTGGAATTTCAATTATGTGCAGCATATTGAAGATTAGGACTGTTGTTTTAGATTTGAGAAAAATAAAATACTTCATTCTCCTCACAGGATCTCTGACTGATGAATCGGTTTATTGGGGAATCGACAAATTGTGAGTTGTTTCAGTTTATTAAGGGTAATTGTTTTCCTAGCAGGTTAGATATTCGTGGTTTCTAAAAATTGTTACTTTTCTTCGTTTCATGAATAATTGTGACTAAAAAATCACATATCTTGCATTGGATGTTTGGGGAAAAGCAAATCCATGTAGAGAGAGCCGTCATGTGAGTTTAGATTTTTTTTCTTTTTCAAAACGATACAAATAATTATATAACTCAACCAAGTTTCAATACAAAGGGGAAGACCCCAATCAAATCCTAAAAATCAAACCGAGAGATACATCTACAAGATGGCATAGAGCCTCAAATCAACAAGAAATCACAAAATAAAGAAAAATAGGGCCTTAGAAAATCCTAACCACTGCCATAAGGCCTAACAGGAATCCCCCTAAGCCAATGAAAACTAGAAATCACAGCAAACTAAGCAAGGAGAACCAACAATACATTAAAAAATGGAACCGAACTCCTACCACTCTGCCTGGCAGTTTTGATCACCAAAATGTACTGGAATAAGAGATGTTTGAAAAATTCATAAATTGCGAGTTTTCCACAGCTACCAAAGCAAATAAGTAGTAAGTTGAATTATGTGGCTTGATATATCTGATTTGGCCAGGGAGCACACCTGTTGCCACCAATGCAATGCTTAAAAGAACTGGCATGTTGGGAGATTCCATCCCAAGAGACGGGGGCAAGATCCCATAATCTGCAAGCTCTGGGACATGTTAACAAAATGTGTTCAATTGTTTCCTGATCTTCTCCACAGCATGTGTCAATATTCAATCCTTTCTTTTTCAAGTTGACCATAACAGGCAGTGTACCATTAAGACATTCCCATATGAATAGCTAGATCTTCTCAGGAATCTTCAATGACCAACTTCTATTAAGAATGTTTGTCATAGGCTTAGAATAGGAGCTACTCTCAGATTGATCCAGTGTGTGAGCTTTATGCTAAGCTAAATGAGTATAGATGCTAGAGACTGAGAACTTGCCTTTCCTGTCAAGACCCCAATACAGTCTATCCTTTACACTAGGCTTCAAAGTTTTGATGTCCAGGATGGCTTTGCTATCTTCTTCTTTGACCAGCCACTGATTCCATCATGTTCCACAGCAAGGTTTAAATCCTTAACAAAAATGTGGTGACCTCTGGCAATATCAATCATGGGCTTAGGCAGATTTGGAACCCAGTTATCATCCTCAATTCTAGTTTCAGTTCCACTTCTAATTTCAGTCCTCAAGTCAGCAATTCCACAGCCATGAACCTTTGTGAGATTTAACTGCTTGAAAGATAGAGGTGTGGGGATAATATATGTCCTTCAAAGTTTAGATTTAGATATTATGTTTCTAAGCTTTAGTTGTTAATTAATTAGAGATCACAACAACAACAACAACAACAACATAGCCTTTAGTCCCAAGCAAATCGGGGTTAAAAATTGTAACCCATAGGATTTGAACCTGGTACCTCATGGAAGCAAGACAAGCAATGCAACCACTACACCACTCAATTAGAGATCACAACTTCTATTTTATTTATTATTTCAATTTTTTTCATCTTCATATTGTGGTTCAGGACATGGAAGATATTGGTTGCCTACTTGTGTAGCTCCGTATAAACCTCAAGGATGTGCTTGTGAAGAAAATGATGGAGAATTTACTGAGAAATTTTTGTTATTTTGTTTCTTCTATGTATTACTACCCATATAAAAGAGCTAATGTGATGGAAATTCAATTCTTTTTTTAAACGGACGCCATTAAAATTCTTATTATGCACTCGTTGCTTTTGGCTCTCCGAAATATTGAAAATGCTTGTGCAAAACAAGACTTTCCTCCATTACATTTTTTCTTTTTTTTTTCGCGAACACTTGTGCCCGATTGTAACGCTGCTGTATATCTACTTGACAGCTGTTTGAATTTTTCTTTGTAGCAAGAGGAGAGGGTTCAATATCGCATGAAATAATGAAGTCACACTTCTAGCTGCAACCTTTTGTTCCGATATATCTATCTTATTTGTGAAACACTTATGCCAAATCAGAATCTTTCCGATAAGCTTAACTGCTTAAGGGCAACAGAAGAAAGCAGTTATATATATATATATATATATACATACACATACACGCTGACAGCTGTTATATAGGATCATCAAACGGAACTGAAAACACTGTCACCACTTTCAGATGCGCTGTGGAGAAGAGGATCAACATCGTGCTCGTTCTTAGTACTTGTCTTTTCACTCAGCAGCCTTTGACCACAACGGAGCAAGATTTGCAACACGTCATTCATGGCTGGCCTGTTTGAAGGGAATGTGCTTGTGCACATCAAACCCAACCTCAACACTCTGGTTATTTCCTCCAAGTAACCAGTAGCCTTTATGTCCACATCGATTGCATCCTCAATGGGCCGGCCTTCACGAACATGGCGCCAAGTCCAGTCAACAATGGACAACGTCTCGTCTCCTGAGTGGGCCTCACGTCCGGTTACCAACTCCAGAAGAATTACACCGAAACCATACACGTCTATCTTCTCATTCACTCTTCTCGTCTGGGCGTACTCTGAGAAATTAAGACTCACATAATAAGCTCTTTTCATTGTTCTTTCCGTTTATTACATGATTCAGATGGCTCGTGGCTGTTTTCCTTTTTGTTTATGCGTTTCTCATGAATTCTTGGGGTATGTATGTATGGTTGCTCGTTAGTATTTCTTTCGCTTCATTTTTCTGAAAACCGGATTTTTACCAAAGCAGCACAAATCCAGTTTTGGGAGGTAAAGTAAAGAAAAGCATAGTTCGTATGGCTGGTTTTCAAAGAAAAATCATATGGTAAAAGTAAGAAACTCGAAAGGCTTACCAGGAGCCATGTAGCCAAAAGAGCCAGCCACAACGGACATTGTGTTTGGCTCTCCTTCCTTCACCAGAATTCTTGCCAGGCCGAAATCAGCAATCTTTGCGTTGAACATGGAATCCAACAGCACATTGCTCGACTTCACGTCTCGGTGGATAATTGGGGGCGAGCAGTGGTGGTGCATGTAGCAGAGCCCATGAGCAACCCCAATTGCTATGTGCAGCCTCTTGGGCCAGTCCAAGCCCACACTGTACTGGGGAGCCAGGCCCAGCCCACCTTGCCGTCTCCTTTTCCCATGCAGCCATCTGTCCAGACTGTAATTCTCCATGTACTCGTACACGAGAAGCTTACAGGCTTCGCTCGAGATGCAACACAGGAGCTTCACAATGTTCGAGTGGCGAATAGTCCCCAGTATCCGCATTTCTGCATGGAATTCCTTATCGAACTTCTTATTTGGTCTCACGCTTTCCCAAATCCTCTTCACGGCCACGTACTTGCCTGGACTATAATTGATCGGGACACGGTAAACTTGTCCAGACCCTCCTTGCCCGATTTGGTTTTCCTCTGTCATGCTTGACAGGATGTTTGTCTCTGTAAAATTTAGCCTCTGAAATGAAGTCAGCTTCCAGGTTGAGCTGGATATTTGGTTTCTCTTTCTATAAGTCCTTCGCACGTACACTGCGTAAAGAATGGCCACTAGGAAAGCCAAGGCTGCTAAACTCGAGGCTATGGCTATAAAACGAGAAGAGAACCCTTTCGACTTCTCGATTCTGGATGCATCATGGCAATTGCCGAGGCGCAATGACGGGACATTTGAACAGAGTCCCGGATTTTCCAAGAAGCTTCTGTCAAAAGCCGCATTTTCATATTCGCTCGGGATTCTCCCAGAAAGCCTGTTGGAGGAGACGTTGAGTGAGGATAGCTTCAAGAGGTCCATGTTAGTTGGTATGTGGCCCGAAAATTCATTTTGCGATAGGTCCAAGTAGTTAAGGGCAGGCAGAAGCCCGAATGCTTCCGGAATTTCGCCTGAGAGTTTATTCCGGCTGAGATCCAAAGTCGTGAGAGATCTCCACGATATTATGTCCGAGGGTAGTGGGCCTGAAAATCGATTGCCATCGAGGGAAATGGTGGTTGCCAAAGAGAGAGCAGTCAATTCTCGAGGTATTGTACCACTCAACTCGTTATTGCTTGCACGGAAGACTGTCAGTCCCTCCCAAGAATAAATTCCATTTGGAATAGGACCCGAGAACTCGTTGTTCATAAGCTCAACCAATGATAGCCGAGGCCCCACTCTATCCGGAAGCTGGCCTGAAAACAAGTTGCGCCCGAGCATCAATGTTGTTAAATTTGAAGATGTCCATAAACCACTGGGGATTCTTCCCGAAAGCAAATTGTCGTGGACACGAACAATCTCCAAGGTGCTGCAGTCGCCAAGGGACTCGGGCAATGGACCCGTCAGCTCGTTTTCAAAGGCTATCAACCCTATCAACGCTTTGTTTGCACATAAATGCTCGGGCAATTGGCCCGAAAAGTGGTTTGAGGAAACCTGAAACGTTTTCAGAGGTGAGTGCCGACCAAAATCCGGCGGCAGTTCACCCGACAGATTATTGCTAAATAGCCCGACATCCACGAGCTCCGGCAACCGGCCAATGCTCTCCGGTACCTCACCAGACAATCGGTTGAAGAACAAAGCTAACCCAGTCAAGCTAGAAAAATTCCCAAAACCGTCCGGGATTGACCCGGTCAATGAGTTGTTGGAAAGATCGATGATTTGCAATTTCAAAGACTCGACTCTTTGAGGAATTGGACCGGACAACTCGTTCTTGTAGAGATACAATTCAGTCAAGTTCTGGAGAAGGAATATTCCTTGCGGAATATGACCAGTCAATCTGTTTACGGATAGGTCGAGAGACTCGAGGGCCGACATGTTCCCGATGGCTTGGGGAATTTCGCCAATCAAATTAGCCTCTGGCATCCACAGCTTCTTGAGTTTTTTCAGGTTAGCAAAAGCGGAGGGGATAGGTTGAGGAGTAAAGGAGTTGTAGCCTAAGGAGAGCTCCTGGAGTTGCGGAAGGTCTCCGATTTCAGGCGGGAAGGAGCTATTGAACAAGTTGCCGGCCAGGTGGAGGGTTACGAGAGCCTTGAGGTCCCCGATGGCCCGAGGGATGTCCCCCGTGAAGTTATTGGCGTCGAGGTTGAGGTAGGTGAGGTGGGCGGGGAGGTGGGCTGGAATTGGGCCCACGAGGTAGTTTTGGGAGAGGTCGAGGTGGTGGAGGTTGGAGCAGTTGTTGAGGGCGGTGGGGAAAGGTCCGGGGATATAGTTCCACTGGAGTTGAAGGTGGGTGAGGTTGGTGAGGTGGCATATGGAGGGTGGGATGGTGTTGGTGATGGTGGCGTTGATGATGGAAAGGCCGGTGACCCAACGGCCAGAGGGTTCGCACGTGACCTCGGGCCACGTGCAGTGATCGGAAGAGGGGGTCCAGTGGGTGAGGGAAGGGGGGTCGCCCCAGTGGCTTTTGAGGCTGAGAAGGATGCTCTGTTCTTGGGGGTGGTTGTTTTGTGTGTTTCCGAGGAAGGGTAGAGTGAGGGAGAGGAGGAGAAGAAGAATAAGGGGGATTTGGGAGGTCATTTTTCGGTGCAAGGCGGCTGCCTTTGCTGTGTCATGTGTGGAGTTTTTGACTTAAAAACAGAGTGCTTTTCGTTTTTGATTTACATTTTATTTGTTGGTGTAATGTGAAAACGGGAAGCAGAGAGGAAGTTTGAATGATAGACAATAAATAATGGGATGAGGCTGCCAGATTTGAAAGGTCAACATTTTGTTGTCTTATGATAGCCACAGGACATGCCGTCTTCTACTTTAAGATTCTACTTTTATTTTATAATTTATCAAATCATAAACAACTATCCGAGAAAATATCTATTTTCACCTGCTTTGCTTTGAAGATGGTTTAAGTTTTTCCACATTGTCAATTAATAAAAGTTATTATTATTTTTACTCCATTAAGTGTGAAATAAATTATGCGACAAATAAAAAGAAATTTTATATACTAACATTACATTGCATTGCTTTGAAGATTGTATACCCTAACTATTTGAGGAAATAGTTATTTTTCACCTGAAGATAGTTTAAGTTTTTTCACACCGCCAATTAGTATGTTAACTTTTTTCACCCTACTAAGTGCCGCCTCGCCTCTCTGGTGGGTGTCTGGTGCCGCGTACGGTGGTCGTCGGTGGTTGGGTAAGCCAAGTTTGGTGGTTGTCGATAAACGCCGGGAATATATATATATATTCTTGGGATGAAAACACGAGACCATGTGATCTTCTACTGTATAACCAATACTTGCTCCGATTTACCGTGGTGGACAGCTTATCCGATCTCCCAAACCTCACACAAGAACTCACGATTTTCTCTCCTTCATTTGTTCTCGATTTTTTATCTATTTCTTGCTCAAGAAGATGAATTCATGTGTGGATCTCTATGATCTTAGAGGCTAAGAACTTTGTGTATTTATAAATTAAAATAGAAACCTTAAGAATGTGCTAATTATGAACTTCTCAATTGTACATCCAACTGTGGGTATGTCCCACTCCACTCACAGTTAATTAATATTAAATACAACTATAAGAATTATTGAACTTCCCATTTAGCCACGATTTACAAATAATTCGTCTTCCAACTAATTGCTCGATTTATCTCCCCATTTTCAATATCTAACGTGCTTATTAATTTAATTACTGACAATATAATTAATCTAGTTTTATATCAAAAACTAGTACCACTTAGTTCTTTATTACTATATTGAAAACTAGCATACCTGCAAGGCTACATAATAATATCTTATTTTAGGGATGTCATCAACTTGGACGGAATTGAATGGACTGTTGTGAAAGGCTATGAACAAATATTTCTATTTACAAGACACCGATAATATGATCTTTCTGTTCGACACATTGAACCATATTATCTATAATGTAAGCATAAATAAATAAATTGCAAACATACACTTGACTAAAACATGATTCTTATTCAAAACGATATGGTCAGAAACTGAAAGTCGAATTTTTATAGTATACCCTAACACCTTCATCCATAAATACATAGGCTTAGAAATTTAGGACATTTTATTATTAGGTATTGTAACTATTTTTATTTTTTTTTAAATACTCCTCACATTCATATTTTAAGTTTTCTAAAACATTTCCTAGATGAATTATATAATATAGAGCCGTGTTGATTTTAATTGAATGAAATCCTTATATCACACTATTCAAAATTAATAAATACTAAATATTCTTAGAAAAAGGTTCAGTGGTGAATCAAAGAAAATATAAATTTATTGGTCATTTTCGTTTAAACTTAAGTTTATTTTTTTTTATTATATCATATTTCTACAAAAGATATTAAGAGAAAATAAATAAATATCATAATTTTTTTCAGATTTCCAAACGTATAGATTTTCCTCTTATATCTGTCTTTTCGATATTATTATTTTCCCATGCATTTGTGCACATTCATCTATGAAGTATATTTTTTTACATAAATTTACTAGTCTTTCTTGTATTAGTTTAGTCTTTTCTGTATTAGTTTTTCTAGTGCATTATGTTTTAGTACATGAAATATTTTCATGACAAATACTCATTAATGTTTTAGTACATTATGCATTCTTCTACTCAACTGCTATTTATCGCCCCCTTTTACTAGTCACCGCCACCCCATTTACTCTTTTGCTCTTAACCCTTTTTCAGAGTCTATCTCTCTAAACTTTCTATCTCTCTAAATTTCCGAACTTCAACGAACGATTCGAGCACCGAAGAAAATCCAAAAAAATGTCGAAAAAATCTTACGGCGTCGGCAAAGGACTCTTCTTCAACAAAGTAAATTTATTATTTTTTTTACGCCGGAATATTTTTTTAAAAAAAAATTTAGGATCTGTTCGGCCGTCCGACCGTCGTTTCCGGACAGCCGCCGTCCGTCCGGTCGTCGGTTCCGGAAGGACGAAAAACCGTCCGGTCGGTCGGACCGGACGGCCCAAAGAGTGTCCGGTTCCGGACGGCCGAAAAATCGTCCGGAACCGCCGGCCGGTCACGAGCCGGCCGGACAGTTTTCGATTTTTTTTTTTATTTTTTTTAATAATTATAATAATAATAAATAATAATAATAATAATAATTATTATTAT